TGTGGGGTTCCTGTCCTCTCCAGATCTTACTATTTCCCCACAAGGAGAGCAACAGAACCAGAAAATTTGGGGTCTTCCCAGAGACTCATACTCCAACCAAGGACCATGCATGGAGATAACCTAGAACCCCTGCACAGATGTAGCCCATGGCAGTTCAGTGTCCAAGTGGGTTACATAGTAATGGGAAGAGGGACTGCCTCTGACATAATCTGATTGGCCTGCTCTTTGATCACCTCCCCCTGAGTGGGGAGCAGCCTTACCAGGCCACAGAAGATGATAATGCAGCCACTCCTGATGTGATCTGATAGACTAAGATCAGAAGGAAGGAGAGTAGGACCTCCCCTATCAGTGGACTTGGGGAGGGGCATGCGTGAAGAAAGGGGAGGGAGGGTGGGATTGGAGGGGAGGAGGGAGGGGCTTATGGGGGGATACAAAGTGAATAAAGTGTAATTAATAAAATAAAATTAATTTTAAAAAAGACTATGCTAATGCCCTGCTGCTCAGCAGTCTTCACCTAGAATTACCCACCAAGCTTTCCAGGCCTTCCATGGGCACTAACAAAATGCCTCAGGCGCCATCTACAGGGCTGTCTACAGCACTGCAACAGGCTATGAACCACGAACTTTGTCGGACCTCCCTGATGTTTTGTCTGATACTCAGCAACAATTTCCACATCAGACATTTTGAAAAAAAGAGACTACAGATACAGACTCCTGTGTCATGCGGCCGAGTTCTAGTCCAAAACTACCATTAACTCGTGATGTTTAGGAAGCTTATGGCTTTCCATTTTTTATTACATTTATTTTTTTTCTTTGTTTTTTTTTTTTGTATTTTATTTTTTTCTTATCAGTTACATTTTATTAACTCTGTACCCCAGCTGTGTCCCGATCCCTCATTCCCTCCCAGTCCCTCCCTCCCTCCCTCCTCTCCACCGTGCCCCTTGCCAAGTCCACTGATAGGGGGGACCTCCTCCCCATTCATCTGATCCTGTTTTATCAGGTATCTTCAGGACTGGCTGCAAAGCTCTCCTCTGTGGCCTAACAGGACTGCTCCTCCCTTGGGGGGGTGGGGAGGCCAAAGAGCCAGTCATTGAGTTCCTGTTAGAAATAGTCCTTGTTCCCCTCACTATGGGAAACCAATTGGTTACTGAGCTACCACAGGCTACATCTGAGCAGAGGTTCTAGGTTACATTCATACGTGGTCCTTGGTTGCATGTCAGTCTCAGAAAAGACCCTGTGCCCAGATATCTTTGGTCCTTGTGGAGCTCCTATCCTTTCCTCATCAGACTAACTCCCCTTCTTTCTTATGATTCCCTGTACTCTGCCAAAGGTTTGGTCATGAGTCTTTGCTTTGAAAACACTGCTAGTTAGAGTCTTTCCAATGCGCTCAGTAGACTCCTGTCATACGTTCAATGCACATCCCATCTGTCATTCTAAATGAGGATTGATCTTCTTACCCCATGTCCACTCTCTTGATTATCTTTTATAGGTGTACAGATTTCATTATGTTTATTATATCTTATAGGTCTATATAAGTGAGTATATACCGTGTTTGTCTTTCTCCTTCTGGGATATTTCACTCAGGATGATCTTTTCTAGGTCCCACCATTTGCCTGCAAATTTCATGATTTCCTCCTTTTTGATTGCTGAGTAGTATTCCATTGTGTAAAAATACCACAATTTCTGTATCCATTCCTCCGTTGATGGACATCTGGGTTGTTTCCAGGTTCTGGCTATTACAAATAAAGCTGCTATAAACATGGTTGAGCAAGTATCCCTTTTGTGTACTTGAGCAAACTTTGGGTATATACCTAGCAGTGGTATAGCTGGGTCTTGAGGAAGCACTATTCCTAATTGTCTTAGAAAGCGCCAGATAGATTTCCAGAGTGGTTGTACCAGTTTACATTCCCACCAGCAGTGGAGGAGGGTTCCCCTTTCTCCACAACCTCTCCAGCATGTGTTGTCCCTTGAGTTTTTCATTTTGGCCATTCTGATGGGTGTAAGGTGATATCTCAGGGTCGTTTTGATTTGCATTTCCCTGATGGCTAATGAGGATGAGCATTTCTTTAAGTGTTTCTCTGCCATTCGATATTCCTCTGTCGAGAACTCTCTGTTTAGCTCTGTTCCCCATTTTTTAATTGGATTACTTGGTTTGCTGCTTTTCAGCTTCTTTAGTTCTTTGTATATACTCGATATTAGTCCTCTGTCAGATAAAGGGTTGGTGAAGATTCTTTCCCAATCTGTAGGCAGTTGTTTTGTTTTGATGACAGTGTCCTTTGCTTTACAGAAGCTGTTCAGTTTCATGAGGTCCCATTTATTGATTGTTGCTCTTAGAGCCTGTGCTGTTGGTGTTCTGTTCAGGAAGTTGTCTCCTGTGCCAATGAGTTCTAGGTTGTTCCCCACTTTTTCTTCTAACAGATTTAGAGTATCTGGTTTTATGTTGAGGTCTTTGATCCACTTGGACTTTAGTTTTGTGCAGGGTGATAAATAGAGATCTATTTTCATTTTTCTGCATGTGGACATCCAGTTGGACCAGCACCATTTGTTGAAGATGCTGTCTTTTTTCCATTGAATGGTTTTGGCTTCTTTGTCAAATATCGAGTATTCATAGGTGTGTGGGTTTATTTCTGGATCTTCTATGCGGTTCCATTGATCCTCCTTTCTGTTTTTATGCCAATACCATGCAGATTTTATTACTATTGCTTTGTAGTACAACTTGAGATCGGGGATGGAGATACCTCCAGATGATCTGTTGTTGTACAGGATTGTTTTGGAGATTCTGGGTTTTTTCTTTCTCCATATGAAGCTGAGAATCTTTTTTTCAAGGTCTGTAAAGAATTGCGTTGGTATTTTGATGGGAATTGCATTGAATCTGTAGACTGCTTTTGGCAGGATGGTCATTTTCACAATGTTAATCCTACCAATCCATGAGCATGGGAGATTTTTCTATCTTCTGAGATCTTCTTCAATTTCTTTCTTCAGAGACTTGAAGTTTTTCTCAAACAGGTCTTTCACTTGCTTGGTTAGTGTCACCCCAAGGTACTTTATGTGGTTAGTGGCTATAGTGAAGGGTGTTGTTTCCCTAATTTCTTTCTCGGCCCTTTTCTCTTTGGTATACAGGAGGGCTTCTGATTTTTTTGAGTTGATTTTGTATCCTGCCACTTTGCTGAAGGTGTTTATCAACTGGATGAGTTCTCTGGTTGAATTTTTGGGGTCACTCATATATACTATCATATCATCTGCGAAAAGTGACACTTTGACCTCTTCCTTTCCGATTTGTATACCCTTGATCTCCTTTAGTTGTCTTATTGCTCTGGCTAGGACTTCAAGTACTATGTTGAAGAGGTAGGGAGAGAGTGGGCAGCCTTGTCTTGTCCCTGATTTCAGTGGGATTGATTTAAGTTTCTCTCCATTGAGTTTGATGTTGGTATTACATTTATTTACTGTGTGGGATATGCATGTGAGTAGGTACACACATACTGTAGCATGCATGTGGAAGTCAGAGGACAACTTTTGGAAGAAGTTCTACCAGAGGAGTCCAGAGGACTGAACTCAGGACAAGTGTTTTCACTCACAGAGCCGTCTTACCAACCCTTGCTCTTCCATATTTTTGTTGTTTTTGTATAGTCCCTGAAAAGCTCTCTTGTGCCTGGATACTATGCTTATTATATAAAATAATCCACAGGTCAGGTGCGAAGATGGAGGGCATGCTGCAGGCCTGTGTGCTGGGGCAGGAGAGGACAACACTAGAAGCTTGCCATGGAACCAAGAATCAGGGAGCAAAGGCTCAGTGTCCGCCCCAGGGACGTAGAAAAATAACCCTGAAATTAATAAGAACAAAACAAAACAACAGCACAGGAGCAGAGTGTCAGGCTCTTGTCAGATCTGGGAGAGGATGGGCTGAGATTTCCAGGCCTCCCCTGGAACATTAAAACCCATGAAAAGCATGAGCTTTCTTGTCTGACAGCACACTCCTACCTTCCTCCCCATTGCCTGGCTGCTACGGCAAGATGGGAAAAGAATATGTTAGAGAGGAGGGCTAAAGTGTCAGGTAACATTGGGATGAGCGAGTGAGTGTGCAACTATCATAGGGTGTGCAGGTCTGGAGCTCAGAAGAGTTCGTCCCTGACTTTTATCAGAGGCTCAGGATTTCTGCACCAGGGTGGTTAGGTACAGTGCACAGAAGCCAGTTCTACCTTAAACAGAAAATGAATTTATTAAACGGGCTTTTTAGTTAGTTCACAGGTCAAGATTGCCAGGGCCACACTTGGATCCTAGGCCAGGATCCTGGAATCATGCATAGAACTGCTCTGCCACCTCTGCCACCACTGCCACCAGCACCTACTGCTTCATCCACTGCTGCCATTTAACCCCACCTTGCTATAGCCACTCCACCACCAGGAAGATGAGTTTCCAGAGGATGTGAATGGTTGGACATGGGTGGGAAGGGGGACAGCACGGCTGCTCTTTCTGCATGAACACATCCTCCTTTTCAAAATAGGCCTGAGGTGCTTAGGAAAAGCACATTATGAGAACCTCCTTCAAGAAAGTTCTTTGTAGCTGGGCGTGCCTTTAATCCCAGCACTGGGGAGGCAGAGGCAGGTGGATCTCTGTGAGTTTGTGGCCAGCCTGGTCTACAAATCAAGTTCCAGGACAGCCAGGGCTAACAGAGAAACCCTGTCTTGGAAAAACAAAATATAACAAAAAAAAAAAAAGTTCTTTGTGTCTGGTATGGTGGGGCACACCTATAATTCCAACACTAGGGAAGCTGAGGCAGGAGGATTGGGCTTTCCAGGCAGGCCAGCCTGGGCTACACAGTGAGAACTTGTCTCAAAACAAACACTAAATCAAATAACACCCTCACAAACCCTCTCCCCCTTCCCACTTCCAGATGGTCTTCTTTAGCCCATGCGCTTACTGATGTTGGAATCCAGGCTCCAGAAGGATATGAGGCAGGTTCAAGAATTTTCACTAAAAAAACACTCTAGACACAGTTGCTGGTAAAAGAAAAGTGCTATTTTTTATTTGATTTTGAATGTGAGTGTTTATTTAAAATCAATTATGCTTCCCCTTACATCCCTTCCTTGTGCCCCCAGCCACTGTGGATCAAATGAGCACTCTAGGAAGGACATGGGAGGAACATGTCCAGGCACCCGAGAAGCATACAGCTCGGGGTATACGGCTCAAGAAGCAGCACCAGCCAGTGAAGACTTTCTTCAAAGCAGCACACTTTGGCCTGTAGAGACTGTTGCCCTGCCTGGCTGGGACTTCCCTAGCTATGTCCCCACCCACAGAGTTCCTCTGTCCTGTGGCCTGAGCTTCATACTTGGGATTATAGTTATCATGTTTAGAACTGTAGAACCTCTGAGAGATCCCTAACTTTGTAGACGAGGGAACTGCACTCACGGTCACACCTCTCATCACTGGCGACGCCAAAACCGAGATTCTCAAACTCAAGTCAGGTATCCTTCTACAATGTCTCCAAGAAAGCAGCTACCGTCTGCCTCCAGGACCCATAATATCTAAAGCAAGCAGATGGAGGATGACCAACACAGGTGAGAAAGACCCATGGGAGGGGTCTGGGGGAGCCAGGCTCAGCTCAGGTGAGGAACCTCAGCACTGCTCAGTCTCCCCTCCCTCAAAAAGGTCATGGTGGCAGACACCCCCCAACACACACTAGGACTGTCCTCACCACGGCATGCAGCCATACATAGAAGCATGCCTTCTCATGATCTTCAGCTTCCTGCTGACTGAGGCAGCTTCCAACTGGTGTGGATCACAGTGGTGAGTTGTCCAGATGGCAGGTTGCAAGCTGCAAAATCCAGCCACCACTTAGGCTGACTGAGGTGGGCGCTCTTAACAAGCAGGTCTGTCTATATTCTCCTGGGAGCAACAGAGGGAAAGGCTCAGCTGCAGAGCTTTCTACAGGTGCTCATGAGCAAGCTCATCAGAAGAGAACCAAATCAGGAAGAAGGGATTCATAAAAAACAGAGAGGAGTCAGGAGCACCTATGAGTCTTCTTGCTTACCCAGGCCCTGGAAAGGAGAAAATGACAAGAGCCAGACACATTCCTCTGTCTCAGTTTCAAACAAGCCCATCCTTTGTGGCTGAGCAAAAGCTAATGTAGCAACCCAGGATATCCTAAGTGATGAGTGAAGAGAGTGCAGCATGAAGGGAGGATGAGGATGTTGTGAGGAGTTCGAGACAGTTGAAAAGTGAAAGGCATTCATTTCATTTGGCAACTGTATGGCCACTTGGTGCCTCCTATGGAAACCTATAGAGGACTAAAGAGGAAGGACAATAAAAGGAAAATATTCTTTTGTTGTTTGCTTTTTGAGACAGGGTCTTACTGGGTAGCCCTCGCTGGCCTGGAATGCATATGTAGACCAAGCTGGCCTTGAACTCACAGAGATCAACTAGTCTCTGCCTCCCAAATGCTGGGAGGGTGTATGCCACCACACCAGCCAAATAGTCTATTTTAAAAGAAAAATGATGAGAGCCAGGCATGGTGGCACATGCCTTTAATCCCCAGTGCTTAGGAGGCAGAGGCAGACGGATCTCTGTGAGTTCAAGGCCAGCCAGGTCTACAAAGAGAGTTTCAGGACAGCCAAGACTGTTAAACAGAGAAACCCTGTCTTAAAAAAAAAAAAAAACAAAAAGAGAAGAAAGAAAGAAAAATGATGGATGAGGGAAAGGTCTATGACACAGATGTGACATTTCTGTTTTAATATTTACAGAAGTTTTTGATAGGCTAAGTAGAGGTAAGCAAAGGAGAGAGAGCATGCAGAGTAAGTAAGAGACAGCCTCGGAGAACACAGTCAGAATAAGAAAAACGCAAAAGAAGAAGTACGGGAAAGGAAGTGAGGCAGGATTCTCACACACTGGTCAACAGGAAGAAGGAGAGTGGGCCGGAAGCCCGGGCCGTAGGAGCTCTCTTCAGGGAAGCAAATGGTGAGCTGTTGTTGGCTAATAGCAAAGATAAAGGACATAGATCAAAGATACAATAATACCAATTCCAAGAACTTCCAGTCAATACTGAGTTAGGAGCCGAAAAGGAACATAAAGCAGGCTGACGTGGAAAATGGAGAAAGTACAAGCTGGAGAGGTTAGGAAAATTCCAGGTGCTAATAAGAACCTAAGGGCCCTGGGTGCAGGCTGGAAAGAGGAGGAAATCCTGGAGAAGAATGAAAGTCTGAAAGAGAAGAACACAGCCTGGAGATGGACAAGGGAGGAAGTGCACAGAAGTGTGAGTGGGGCTGGAGAGACACAGGTGAAGACCCCGCTCAGTTCATTCCAGGACCAGCACAGTAAGGGTGGGAGTGGAGCAGAGTCCAGAAAAAGAGGCATACAAACACCTGTGGCTAAACTAGGGCGAGAAAGCCAGCATTTGCTGGGTTTCCAACAATGTCTCACATGGAGCAATGTCCATGGAGGGCCTGGTGGCTGCTATTCAGCAAGGTTCCTACAGCAGGCATGTACCTGGTGTTAGAATTCAGGAGGCTCGGCCTACCCATGTTCTGTATGAGAATCCTGTATCCATTTTCACACTAAAATCCCCTTTGTGTCCACTGAAGCCACCCTACTATCGCATTTCTCAGCCCAGCCAGAAACAAATTTCTAACCTTCTAGGGCTGCACCCGACAGTATAGTAACCAGAACTCAGCGCATTTCCATTGCCTGACTTTGTCCACGACCAAAGAGCTTAACTGACTTTACAATGGGACCATACGGGAACTGCAGGATCCAGTGAAAATGTTAAAGAGCGGAAGATCAAAAGTTACTTAGTGAACAGGCATTTGGTTTTGTTTTTAATTTTTTAAACTTCCAGTTCTGTTTTTTGCATGTAAAAAAAAAATATTTTAAACATGACTTTAAAAATTTGGTTCCAGAAGGAATTCTACAAGCTAACCAGTATAGAGAAGGAATAGTGGACCAGGGCTTTATATCCTTGAAGAGAAGGGCAGCCCTCTTCCTTATCTGCCCTGCCCATGTGCCCAGAGGGGGCATCTCCGCACAGAGGGGCTCTAAAATAAGAAGGGAACAGATGAGTGACCACATTTTCAAGACCTCTGAGCCTAGAAACTGGTCCTTGCCCTAACAGGGCACACTCAAGCCACAAGCTGTATCAAGACAAGAGAAGCCAAACTTTGAACCAGGCATTTCTGTTTTATGGCCACAATCTCCAACCAGTCCAGGAAAGCCTGTCAGGCTATCAGAGCATTCAGTGGCTTTCCAGTGCCAAACACCATAAAGCAGGAGGAATATGGGTTACAGAAAAGTAAGATGTTCAAAGGCAGGTCAGGACAGAAGGAACCTCACCAGAACAGTCAGAGAAAAAGATGCAGAAGTCAAAAGAGAAACAGCCAAAGCCCCAAACCAAAAGGCTGTGTGAACACAGGCGCAAAGCCTGCTTTCAAAGGCTACCTGACTACGGCGAGCCGAAGGCCCCACTGCTGGAACTGGACAGCAGGACATGGAGGCCCAGCTACTGGGGAGAGCTTGGGAGCTCTGCTGAGTGACAGTGGGCAGTGGGCGGGCCTTGCCTTGAGGTGAAGATGTTCCCTCAGTCCAATAGTGCTTTTGTTGATTCACAGGGAAAGAAGAAAAGTTTTCTGGTAAAAAGAAAATTGCTTCCCAGCAAAGGCCCTATGAATAATCACTTCCTTAAACTCTTTGCAAAAAAAAGTCCCCTGAAATCAGCCAGCTGTGCCTCAGGACCAGGCCACTGAAATGCCAGGTCCACAGCTCCACCAGCAATACAATCAATAGGTCCTTCCCCAACCAAGCCCTTGTTTGGGAAGAAGCCTGTATGTGTCTCAGAAGCTTCCTCACAAACATGCTGCTTATGGCAGATTTCTGTGAGTTCGAGGCCAGCCTGGTCTACAAAGTGAGTCCAAGACAGCCAAGAATACACAGAGAAACCCTGTCTTGAAAAAACCTAAATAAACAAACACCCTGCCTACAGTGTAGTGATCTGTCTACAATGTAGCCTGCAACTCTATTGCCACCTCTCTGTTCTCATGCTTCCAGAATGCCTTTCTACATTCTGAGAGAACTATAACCCTAAGGCTGCCTCAGGGTCACCAAAGGATACCAGCTTCTCATCTCTCCATTTTCCCCTTCTCTGCCCTGAGCCTGTGAATGTCGAAGCAGACTCCTACGGGACACTGAAGCCTTCTCCAAGCTTCAACAGAAAAAAAAAGGGGGGGGGGGGGGGACAGTGTTGGCTGCTTCTGGGCCGTCAGCAACATGGCCACAGTTCTGATCTTTGGCTGTATGAAAAAGTAGACAACTAGAATTGTGGGCAGGAGAGGCCTGGCACACTGCACTGGCTGTGGCTCATTCTTGCCAGGGAACCCTGTACCTGCAACAGACACATCACACTTCTCCCAAGTAGAACTGGAGATGCCAATGTCTGAACAGAGAGGATCAAAGAAGAGCCACTGTGTGTCATAATAGTCATGTCTGGGAAGGCAGGCTCTGGAGTGCTATTAGCCCAGAGTCAGGACACAGAGGGACAGACTCTGAAGCTGGCATCTTCTGGGTGTGAGTGGGGACTGGTCTTTGCACGACCACCCAGCAAGAGTGCCAAACCACACATAGCATTTCACAGTGACCACCTAAGTCCTACTTGGGAAAGCGAACATGAAAAGCAAATACCCTGAAAACCGTTAGAACCCAAATAGGCACCAATTGAGACCTAGGGCCTCGAGAAGCCTCCATTATTCTGCCAGTGGCAGATGCCTCTGTCCCAACAGGACGAGCAAAGGCAAACAGTGACAGTCTTTGGCTGTGCTGGGACAGGGACCACAGGCCTGCCATATATCCAAACCTCGCTTCCTTTCTCATACCCCCATCTAAGCCAGGAGAGTTCAGACGCGCACAATGCTCCTGAGTCCTGGCTGCTGAGAGGTGAGCAAAGGGTGCTCTCCACAGCCGAGAGCTCACCGAGGAAGCCAGTTCCTCCTGAGCCTGAAGAGGCACAGAACCTCTATGTCCGATTACTCTGGCAATAAGGAATACCTCCCTCTTCCCTGTTTTACTAAAATCTTCTTTATGGTAGATGTACTATGGCTCCCAAATAAATGCTGGAGATGCAAATGATGAAGGGAGCGCTACACGCTCAACAAGACTCATCTCATAGTCACACTCTGAAGAGAATAAGCTGAAGGGTGGGGAGGGTTGGTTGAGAGGATGGGACATCAGCCACCAGAGTGCCCCATTTCCTTCCAGCTCTCACACCTGCGAGATGCTGTTGCCCAGGCGAAATGGCATTCTCTTTGTCTTTTCATTCTCCTGAGATAAAAGAAAAATCAGAACACTCAAATTTGGATTTATTAAACTGAAGGGGGACAGGGTCAGGATTGGGGCTCCCCACACTGACGTATTCTACCCTGGAAATGCAACAGAAGAGCTCACTATATATTCTAGACACAAGTGTTGTAAATAATCAGGGAGTGCTGGCCAGACCTTGGCACACAGGAGGCCAGCAAGCACATTTCAGTGGAATCTAACAGAATGGCTGTGTGTAACAGCACATGCCTGTAGTCCTAACACTTGGGAGGAAGAAGTAGTACTGTCACAAGTTTAAGGCCAGCCTGATCTCTAGAGTTAGTTGCAATCCAACCTTGACTACATAAGTAAGAGCTTATTTCGAAAAGGGAAGGAAGGATGGAAAAGGGATAGGAAGAAGTAGGGAGGGGAGGAAGGAAGGGGGAAAGGGAGGGAGGGACACAAGAAGGGAGAGAAGGAAGGAGGAGGCTGATCCTTCAGGTCCACACAGATGAGAACAGCCAGAAGGTATTAGAATTCTCTCTGTTGCAAGCAACCCCTCTGCTTCCTTTCTGTATCAAGGAGCTAAAGTGGTCCCTCTAGCCCAGGGAGGCCCTGATACCAGGTAGTTCTCTTTCTATGGGTATCACATTCATGGTATAGTATAATCAGTACTGAGCTGGGGGTAGAACACTTCCTCAGTCTAGGTCTGTGAACTTACTAGAGGACCCTGGGCAGGAACATGGACCCCTTGGAATGTCAGGCTTCACTGATAACTGGAGTTGGTGGTCTCTGTACCGCCCTCCCTTTCTCATATGCTATCCTGTGTTCTCTGCATGCTGCTCCAGTGACCCTTGCTATCACCCACCCACCTTGCCTGCTGGCTGTCTGAAGCTCTTTACCATATGCCGCCGCCGCCTCTTGGGCTGGATGCCTTCCTGCGTGTAGGGAGGCCACGGGAAGCCCTGAGGGGTGGAGCAGCCACTCTCGCCAGATACGTCCTCAGAGTCCGAATCCTCTTGCTGGGGCTGGGCAAAACATTTGTCTGGGTAGATCTCCTTTAGCCAGCCCTCAAAGAACACTTCCAGACAGCGACCAGCCTCTGCAACCTCCGAGTCAGGCTGATGAGGAGAGACAGAAGTGTTCAAGCCTACTTCCACTGGGCCCTCTCCTCTATGCCCTCCACCAAGAAGGACACAGGGAACGCAGCCTGGCTGGCCCAGGAAGCTCATCCTGAGAGGCCTGCGGCTTGGCACAGGCCCCAGGACTCAGGATTAGGTAGCAGCTCATGAAGCAGAAGTGAGCTTGGTAGATATCCACAGTTGGCCAGTTACTAGCACCTCCCACCCCCCATTCTTCTGAGTCCGAGCCCACACTTGGGAGAGGGCTTTTAAACCATAGCAAACCCCAGGAGCCTGCCCCACCCCCAGATGTGACAGTCTGGGGGTCACTGTGAAATAGAGAAAACAAATGGAACATACATAATTGAACTTAGCACAGTTCCAGAACATGAGGCGCACGTCTGACACCACTTCCTCTGGAGTGGTGTAGTGAGCTGGGTCCTTCTTTTGCAGCTTTCTCCGGATGATGGATAGGTCCATGGGCCTCTTGATAATCTGGTAATAATGCCTGGCCTTGGTGAAGGAGAGAAGGGGAGGAGGAGATGAAGAAGAGAACATTGCTGTAGGAATAGACAGGAAAGAGGAGGAGGTGGGGGATGGGTTGAAATATAAATGGACGAATAGAAGAGATGAAGAAAAAAAGAGGAGAAGCTGACACTTGATAAGTCAGGTCTTCTGCAGTAGCAGCTGTGAAGAGGAGGCCGCCATGACACCTAGGGGTTCCCTGAGCAGAAAGGAGAGCAGTAGGCAGAGGCAACGGGGAAGGGGCTCCTTACCAGGGGGCTGACTGGCTCGTGGAAGGGCAGGCTGAGGCTGTTGCAGCACAGGGACAGGACGAGCTTCTCACACTTCTGCAGAAATGACAAGGGGCAAGTAGCACACTGTCCTGGCTCCACCTCAGTAAGAACTAAAGATAGCAGCCCTGGATAAGTGTCTGGCTCTAATCTGATGGCAAGGGTGCCAGCCACCCTGAGAATGTAGTTTGGGCTCCCAGGCCAGGGGAAAACTTCTGGGAAAAGAACTGTCACATAATAGCTACAGGCCAAGTCCTTAGGCTTGGCCCATAGCAAGACCTTAACCCCCCATCCCTATTTCCCCTTCCAACCCCCACTCCCACCCCAACCCCACCCGCCAAAGCTCCTGTGTTGAAGCCTTGGTCCCAGGGCTGCAGTTTGGAGGCAGGGCACTGGAAGGTGACTTAATCAAGGCTCCGGATCAATCCATTTCTGGACCATTGGGAGCTGGTGAAACCTTTAAGAGGTGGTGGCAAGTGGGAGGAAGTGGCTCATCTGGCCTCATCCTTGCAGGGCACATGCTCCCCCTGGAGCCATGCTCCCTCTTTCTGCTTTCTAACAGCCATGAGATGAGCTCTGCTCTCTCACATGTTTCCCACTATAACGTTTCTGCCACACACAGACCTGGGAACAATGAAGCCAGTGACCATGAAATGGAACCATGGGTCAAAACAAACCAGTTTTGCTTTAAGTTGATTCCCTTGGGTATTTTGTCACAGTGATGGAAAGCTAACCAACAAAGCCCACCCTCCTGCAAGGTTTGCCATCCCTCTGGAAAAGCATTAGTCTGATGGTGCAAAGGGCTGCCTCACATGGAAAACCCTGCTCCCCAAACCCTACCTTCTGGTCCCACATGCTCAGGCCGGGAGGTGCCCTCATTCCAGGCTGGCCAAGGCGGGCATTCTCACAGTCGTACTCCACCTCAGGCTGCGTCAGGCTGCGGCACAGGGTGCACACCCACTCTCCCCTGCATAGCACGCAAGGCCATATTAGAACTCAGCATCCTCCCCCATCTCTATGCCGAGACAGGCATAGAGACGTGGGGAGATGAGGTGAGAAACTGTCAGAAGGCCTGCATCCATGAAGGGAATGGCCTAGCAGCCACAAGCGTGAAAGAAGTAAAATAAATGAGAATGCCATGAATGCAGGGGAAAACAAAACAGGAGTCAGGGAGGGGATAGGGCTAGGTATGGAACAAATCTGAAGAGAAGCACTCCGCTGCAGTACCCACAGCCTCACAGAACTGGAGTCGGTGCAGGCCTGCGTAAGCCCATCCTGGGAGAGCTGTGGGTCTGGCCAGAATCACAACATGGCCCTGAAGATTACCCTGCTCGGCAGGTGATGGGTGTGACTCACCCTGGGAAGCTGAGCAGGGCTGGCACATGGCAGGAAAGGTGGTACACTTTGGGGCAGCGGTCACAGCACAGCAGCTCCCCACCATTGAGGCACACAGCACAGAAGTCCTCATTCTCTATGGGGACTGGGGTGCACTTTTTGGCTCCTGGAGTTCTCGGAATGAGTCTTTGTTCTTCAGAAGATGTGCTGTCCACCTCTAGTGGCTGCTGCCCAGTCAGAGATGTGACAGTGACTTTTCTTCCCCCCAGACCTGGGCCTTGGGTGGCTTCAGGCAGGTTGTTCTGGCTGACCTTGGGGAAGAAGGAAGTCTGAGCCATCGGAGCACAAGCACTGACAAGTGGTTGGCAGGGTTGGGATTGGGGTGGACTGACAGAGACTGAGAACTCACTCTGAGGACCTCTTACTCCAGGGCCACAAGCCTGCCAAGAGCCAGCTTACCCCTGCTGTGTCTCACAGATCCCATGCAGCAGAGGACAGGGCTAGCTACAGCCCCACTGAGGTGCACTGAAGGCCCTAAAGTGAGTATTCCAGCAACAGCAAAGGAAAAGGGACTCCTCGCTGGGACCGAGGAGAGCCAAGCAGTACCTTAATGGACATACTGGAGGACTCCGTGCCACACTCGATCACCAGCAGGAAGCTCCCATCCTGGCTATTCTTCTGGGGCTTCAGCTTAAACACGGGTGTCTCTCCTGATGAGGCAGCACAGATCTTGAGCCGCTCCAGTCGCACATAGGGAATCTTGGGCTCACTACTGCGGGCTCTGTGGTAAGAGAGACACCTTGGGTCCCAGCAGGAGCCTCAATCCTCTAAGTTAGGCTCTTTCTGATCCCACAACTGAATAGCTATTCAAGGCCTCCTCAGTTAACCCTTTATAGGTCCACATTCTGCCCCCTGCCAAGCTCTACCCAGCCAACCCTGTCAGACACTGGAAAGACTCTGCTGTCTCTTGGCAGGCCCAGCAATGCCTGGGACTCTCCCACGACTATTACAGGCACCCACCACACAGACCCCACTTGAGGCTCAGCAGGGGGTAGCGACGGGTACGGACAAACTTCTGCTTCTAGTTCTCATACAGGATTACTTCCTGTGTCATCCTCTCAGGACAGGAAGCTGAGGGTAAGAGGGCTGGGCCAAAAGTCATTACCTGATGTTTGAATTCTCTTTTGTCTCCAGAGCTAGGGCTCCTTGTTCAACATTCTCACATTCTAAGACAAAAGACAAATTAAATAGTTCTGACATAGATTTGTGGCAACAGTCTCTGTCACTTAGATCTTTCACTCATTTTTTTTTTTAATTTGGATTTTTGGTCACACATCTGCCACACAATTGTTAACAGCAGTGTGTTCATTTGTGGTGGTGACAATCCTACTCTGGGTCTCTTCCTCAGAGAGGATAAAAGCCATTATCTTTTTGGTGAAGATGAACACAAATAATTTCAAAGGCTGTCAACAAGTAAGAACAAAGGCAGGCACTGAGCTCCATCTTCCAAGAGCTCGGGAATAACCTGTTTCCCACGCACTAGTCATTCTCTGCACCTCTGCTAGTACTGGGATCCTAGCAGCACCCATAGGGGTCAGAACCTATGCCCTAGGCACAGCACAGTCAACACAAATGGGCAGAGAACAACGGTGAGGCACAGACAGGAACTCCCGTTTATTAGCACTGTCCTATGCCCGTTCCTAGAGCAAAGCTAGGTCTAAAATTTTAATTTAGTTCCATAAAATATAGGGTTATTACTATACATAATAAGAACCTATAATTTTTTTGTTTTTTGAGACAGGATTTCTCTGTGTAGCCTTGGCTGTCCTAAACTAGCTTTGTAGACCAGACTGGCCTTGAATTCACAGAGTTCCACCTGCCTCTGCCTCCCTGAGTGATGAGAATACAGGCGTGCACCACCACACCTGACTCAATAATTTTTCAGTTGGTCTGTCAATATAAAGAGAAAAATAGTCCATTTGGTGGTATTGTTGTTCTTGCATGTATTGAATATCTATGAAATAGACTAGGCTATTTCAAAACAATAACATTACAGATAAAAAAAAATCCTAAGAGACCAGTATTTGACTCTATCTTCTTGACTAGCCCTAAAACAAACCACTGAGCCACTTTAAGAAGGGATATTGGTGGGGCTGTTGAGACATCTCGGCAAAGGTATAGTATAGGTTTGGTATAGGTGTGGGTATGGGTGTTTGTTGCCCAATCTGACAACCTGAGCTTGATCCCAGGATCCTCCTGATGGAAGAAAGAAAACCAACTCCATCTGAAGAAATTCAGAGCCTGTCTCCAGTGGTCCAGATTCCCTTCACTGTGAGATACTGCACAAATCCACATAACTGCCGAGTACATGAAAAAGTCTTGCTGTTATAGAGTAAGCAGCCGAGTGATTTCGCTGTAGTTGCTTGTCCACCTACTCTATGCAGTCTTTGATGAGTCCCATTTAGCTGAGGCAGATGGCAAATACCAATTTCACAAAAAGAAAGAGCTGCTGTCCTAACTAGATCCACCAGACATGCCTTTTTAATCAACATTTTGCCAAGGCTAGCTCTTCTGGAGTGATTCCTTCCATTGTGCCTACATAGAAAGCCAGACTCCCTAGAATGTATTCTGTGGGGAAGGTTGCAAGGTGGCCACACAGATCAGTGCTGCCTATGGCTCGGGAAGTAGGAGTGTGGGCTTTAGGACAGAAGCTAATTCAGCCTTATAAGCAGCATCCCTCAGGCTGAGCCCATCCCCTGCCTCCAACTCACCTGGGGGTGCTGAGTGGCCTGCTCAAGTCTATGGCTGACAGGAAAGGCAGCCACTTCCTCAAGGCTCACCTTTTGTTTTCCGGTACTGTTGCAGGGCAGTAGATGTGTTGATCACTGGTGCCAGGAAAGGTTTTTTCACGGAGAGGTTAATTGGTTCCTCCAGTTCTGAGGGAATAGCTAAATCCTTTGGACCATCCAGACTGGAGGCTCTCGGGCCTTGTCCTACTGAGTCTATGAAGCGAGTGCAATCCTCCCTTTCCATCTGTCAAAGGAGAAAGGTCAACAAGAATCAAATCCAACATCCTGGCCATCAGCAAAACCACTAACTTAAGGCTAAGGTAAGGCAGCTGGTGGCCAACATTTTGTTTCATAATAAGCCAAAGTTGAATGCCACTTTCCCAAGACCTACCTTACACAAGGCATTCTCCAGGGAGGACTCAGCCCCATCCCTGGGGCCCAGGCTCTCAGCAGGTTGGCCAGAGCCAGGACTGGAAATGGATCTAGTCTCCACATGCACATCAGAAACCGGAGGCATGCCCTGCAGAGAACAAGCGGCCAGACTCGGCACAGCCTGGGTATGCCCAGACATTAGGCTAGGCCCGGCCTGGGAGTGATTGCTTGGCAGGCTTGTGATGACCTGGGAAGAATCACCCCTCAGGTTGGGCATGGGCTGGAATGTGCTGCGCACAAGGTTTGGCGCTGGCTGCAGGTGACTGGCGGTCAGGCTTGGCACGGCACGGTTTGAAACGTTCAGCAGGCTGGACACAGTTTGTGGTGGGCCACTCAGCAGGCTCGGAATTGAGTGGGAGGGGCCGGCTATCAGGCTGCTCACCCTGTGGACGGGTGGCTCTATGGCCCTCGCCAGCCTGGCAGATGACAACTCCATCTCCAGGGTGTTGGAAAAGCCCATGATGCTCACGGAGGTGGAATGCTGCAAAAAAGGCCACAGGTAAAGCTGGGCTAACAACCAGGAATGTAAGAAGAGGAGAAACCCATCCCCAAGAACTCTGAGATTCCATTTGCCTACATTTAGGGGCTGCCACTGAGAGCTAAGGTAGGCATGAAGTCCTGCCAACTCCCACCACCAAGGAAGCTACTAGGTATGACACAGAGGGATGCGCAAGCTAAGGGGTGTGTGTGTGTGTGTGTGTGTGTGTGTGTGTGTGTGTGTGTGTGTATAAAAACAAGACAGAATGAGAAAAGGAGAGAACCTACTTCCTCACTTGAAGCACACAAATGTCCCATGGGCTATATCTCCCACCCCTATTCCTGTACTTAAGCAAAGGGTTAGTAGGACTTTCTCAGGTCATATTTCCAGTCTTGACTAGTGCTATCTGCTTCTCTTTCTTCCCTTTAAGAAGTCTCATGGGATCCTTTCCTACCTCAAATCGGCCAGGAATTTAAAACAAACAAACAAACAAACAAACAAAAAACAGAACTGTGGTCTACTTCACAGCACACCAAGGTTCCGGGGGCTCTCGTCCTGTCCAGGGAACCCAGCACAAGTCCAGAGCTTGCAGCAAGCTTGAATCTTGTCCTAGCATCAGATGCGGGGGTTCATTCAAGGTAGTGGAAGGTCTTTTTTCTAGCCCTGGTATACCTGCCAAAGTCACTCCAAACCACAGGAAGGGAACTTCAGAGCCCCACCTGTGCAGCCATCAATGAGGCAAGACTGGGCCAATCAGAAATCTAACTACTCAGGATCCTAAGAAGGGGGGGGGGGGACTTGAAACTTGAAGGAAGAGGAGTTGAAGATATGGGTGACGTCAGTCACTGTTTGTATGTTTTCTTTCAGATTTGAAGAAAGAGATTTGATTGAGGTGAAGAGGCAGGAGACCAGGTTTTAAATGTAACTTTCATGAATTTGGAACTTTGACAAGCCTGCTCTTGAGGAAAAGAAAGACTGGATATAAACCAATTTGTCTGCTTTTTAAAATCAAAGGGAAAACACTAGAGCATGCAGCTCTAAACTTTCAAGATCAATGTCCCAAATCCTTCTTTTCCCCAGGTGTGAAGTGTTCAAATTTCCTGACGGCAGTAAACACTTCAATACATTCGTGGGTTTCAATACAAAGGCAGTAAAGCTATTCCCTAGTAAAGAAAGACTGTCTTCCTCCCCAGGAATGTCATGACTGGTCACCCAGCTCCGCAAGTCAGAAGCTAGGAGGGAACATCTTAGGGGCACCCTCCTTGCTCCCAAGCTAACACCAGGCGCTGTGATTAAGATCTACCATTACACCCCCTCTCCTGACAGCGCCAAAGACTAACCTACTTGCCTATCTCCCTAGAAAACAAGAGTGGGTCCTCTGCAGAGAGGAAACACACATCAGACTGCATCAGACCTTTTCATTAAACCCTGCAGTGTGAATACAAAAATGCTGATGAGACTCCCAAGACCCAGGTGACCTGTGCCCTCATCCTTAGCAGCCACAAACAAAGAGCAACCCCCATTCTATTCTCTGTGATCCAGAGCAGCCCTCACCCCTCCAGAGACTGCCTTCTCTGCACAGAACATTCTCCTTGCTCCATTCCCCTGCTCTGCTTGCCTGTCAGAGCTCAGCTCCACTGCCAGGGTATTGTTGCTGCTTGGTTTTGTTGTTTTTTTGGGATTTTTGTAACAAAGGTTCTTTCACCTTCCATGCCCTTGAATCTCCCAAAATATGGCTTTCAGCTTCATGGCCCATCCATTGATACACTGATCACTTGCTGTTCCCCTGTGAAACTAAACTCGATGAAAGCACAGAGTTTGGTCTATTCTGTTCACCCATGTTATTCCTAGACCCAAGAGTAGTGTCCTAGTGAATAGGTGACCTAATGAGCTAATTGAAATTTCAAAACAATGGTGCGGGATTGTTGATTCTGCAAATGCCCAGCTGAGTAAGCAACAACTCTGCTCCACTCACAGCTGACTGAGTTTTCCCTAAAATCATGATTGGCTTTGGGGAGCTGAAGAATTTATTACATTGAAGGTAACTGGCCAGGGCTTTTACACACACTGTTCAGCTTATGCCCACAATAGCCATTAAGAAGTTCTTGTGGTGAAGGTTAAAATATGCAATCTATGCAAACACCTAGAACAACCTCTGGCGTAGTGCTGCAGCCCCTGGACACCTCGGCTGGCCACTGCTGTTGTATTTTGTTGCAGAAGAACACACAAATGAGGCTCAGAAAGTCATCTTCAGATTTTTAATGTTTCCATATAACATGGTCTTTAATGTTTCCCATGTCTCTTGTTTATTGCATAAAGAAATACAATTGATTTTTGTGTTGATCTCGTACCTAGACTCCTCATTGGACTCACTCTGGATTTTCTTGGCACACCTGTTATGTGATTTATTATAAATAAGACCATTTCTTTCCCTTCTTTGATGTTTTTCTGCCTTTTGCCAATAACTGGTCCCTTCTGGATGAGTTTGCATCATTATCCTGGTAACATTCTGATGCAGAGGCATCAGTGTTTCAGTGTTTCATCTACAATGCTTAAGGCTTTTCTTAGATGTGAGTCCAGATCTCTGACACTCCAAGCCATACTCAGTCAGGGCCTGACCACCTGACTGCTGTTTCCTCTGCAATCCCATTTCTGTATCCCTCCCTCAGCTGTCCTCCTTCTCCTTTCCATCACCTTTCTGTCTCTCATGACTGTCACCTTTTTCACTCCATTGGTGTTATCAACCTTTTTCTCTTTTTTCCCTACCCTGTTCCTGTATAAAAGTTAACAGCTTTTAAAGCTTATGTTTCCTTATTGTTACTTCTCAGTTTTAAAAATAGATGATTTAGCCAGGCAGTAGTGGTATACACCTGTATCTCTGAGTTTGAGACCAGCCTGACCTACAGAGTGATTTCCAGAACATCCAGGGCTACACAGAGAAATCATATCTCAAAACACAAAAGACAAAAGACAAAAACAAAAAAAAAACAACAACAACAAAAGATTTAAGCACTTTTAATTTATCTTTCCATAGAAAAGTGTGATTGTGTGTGTGTGTATATATATATATATATGTTTTGCTGGTAGTTCAATGTCTTTAGTAGAAGCTTTCAATTTAATAAGAAGTTTACATTCCAACAACAAAAAAAAAAAAAAAAGCACTACAGAGCAAGGATAAAAAGATGCTCCAACCAAAGGGAGTTAGGCATAAGCATGGAGCCCAGAAAAAGAGACCAAGGCCAGAATCCATTGGCTTTCTGGCTCGTGAGTGAGTGTGCCTGAGTCCTCCATGTGTCCACTGGCTCCGCCTTGGCCCTCTCCTCTTTTCTGCTACTGCCAGACTACTCACGTTAAGGCCTTTTCTGAGCCTTCTGGTGAGACTACGGCTGGCTAGCCTTGTGGGACCTGGGAGATACTGCAGGGTGAGCTGTCCCCTAGTGGCCCTGGTTGTGTACTACCACAACTCTCTAACAGCCTGTGCCTTCCTTATCTACCTACAAACAAGAATATCTGGTGATTGCACTTTATAATATAGAACAAACAAACCCTTTCGACTGGAATATTCCTTTTTCCTCCATATGACATTATATTTAACGTAGTTCTGACATTCATTTTGTCTACCCATGACACACATTGAGAATTGTAAACATGTAGCTGAGAGTGACCTTGAACCTCTGATCCTCCTGCCTCCTCCTCCCAAGTGCTAGGATTAAAGTCATGTGCCATTAGGCCCAGTTTTATATGGTAGTAAGGATTGAAGTCAGGGCTTTGTGCATGCTCCAGAACCCATTTAGAGCAAGCACTTAATCATTTGAGTTCTGCACAAAGCCAAGTCTCAAGGAGCAGACCTTATTACAGGACAATCAACTACTTTCTCCCAATTTATTACTTCATGCAGTGACACATGAGTTCATAAAATGACAGAGAAAGAAAAGGACAGGCAGACTGAGCCACAAAAGAATTATGCAAATTGTCACAGTTTATCCTGAAGCAAGTCTGCTGGAGATTTGCTCCTATAACTCATCTCTTTCATCTGCACATCTATAGCCAATCATGAGGCAGCCAGTGCCAGCAAGAGTGAAGTTCTGCTAGAGGTCACCAAACCTGGGAAACTTCCATGGGAGAAGGAATTCTGAAAGAGTGCTATGAGCAGTCTAGCACTGACCCCATTTCTACAGGCCGTAAAAATACAATGGCAAAGCTGGAAAGATGGCTCAGTGGCTAAGAGCATTACTGGCTGCTCGTTCAGAGGACCTGGATTTGAATCCTAGCACCCATATGGCAGCTCACAACTATCTGCAGCTCTAGTCCTGGATGATCTGATGCCCTCTCCTGGTCACCAGGCATACCATGGTACACAGACATTATGTGTGTGTGTGTGTGTGTGTGTGTGTGTGTGTGTGTGTGTGTGTGTACATATATATGTAAAACACACATATACATAAAATAAATAACTCTCAACACACATGTGCACATACATGCACACATGCATAGACATGGCATTTCCAGAAACTATGTACACCATGTTAATGACTTTTTGATACTTTTTTGTCTCTATGGAATATAGTGCTACCAACCACTAAACCAAAAAGTACTTATTCCATGTGTAGAAAGAAAGTGAATAATCAACAAGCTTCAGGATACTCTGCTGCCAATGCCACAAATGAGCGTAAGCGAGAGCAGGCCCAAACGGGCAAGTAGAGCCAGGGAGGAGGGAAGGGCTTCTAAAGAGCATGCTAGGGCTGGAGAAGGGCTTGACAATATGGCCACATTGTCTGGTGTCTAAGGCTTGACTCAGAAGGAGCTTCTGCCCGGGGAAGAGTGCCTGCTCTCTGCAGCATCCAGTGTGGTTCAGAGGTCAAACAAGAGAAAACAAAAGTGCATTTCCTGTCATAAAGCCTCACAAGATGATGGCTTACTATCTGAGCTGTTAGCAGGGAGCTGACACATCAACTTCATCACACATAAAACCTTCAGACTTCATAAAATATGTATTTTGAAGT